TCAGTGGTAGAGCCCCTGCCTAGAATCCCCCAGTGAGGGGCTGGGGGCGTGGCTCGGTGGTAGAGCCCCCGCCTAGAATCCCCCAGTGAGGGGCTGGGGACGTGGCTCAGTGGTAGAACCCCTGCCTAGAATCCCCCAGTTGGGGACTGGGCACTTAGGTAGCATTTAAGATGCCCTACACTCCATCCCTGTCCCTGAAATAAAGTGAACAGTTTGGTGGCTAAGCAGATAAAGGTGCACTATTGCCATTCTTAACCGAGTTATATCCACAAAAGCCACTTGGTAGAAGAATCTTTTCAAGCTATTCCCTGACCGCCACCTGCACGAGTGTGTGTACATACCTCACTCATGAACGGACATAGCTTAAGCGCACGTGCACACCTGCACAAGCACACAGATAAGTGTAAATGTTTAAGAACCGTAGAAAAGTTGGAATAAGAGAGGGGTCACTGTTTCTGTGAGTCCGGGACCCCTTTTGATTGGTTCTTTTCAGGAGCTGCTGGAAGAGGTGCGGAAGGAGCTGCAGAAAATGAAAGAGGAAATAATCGAAGGTGGGTGCTTCCGGTCTAGCACAGGCCCTGTATCTGTGGAAAGCACCCGTCTTGGAAGGGAAGGCAACAGAGATTGGCCTGACTTCTGCCTCTCATTCCTTCCAGTCTTTGTCCAGGAGCTGAGGAAGCGGGGTTCTCCTTGACTACAGGGACCCAGAGATCCATTTCTTCTTTCTGTACTTCCTGCCTGGCACCTGCTTTCCCTGCCTCGACTTGACCAAGAGTTACACAGAACGCGTTCTCCCCACCAGCTCCCGCTTGGAAGATTCCACAGGGGGTGTGGCTTCCTGGTGCCATGGCCACACCCACATTGGCTGCTGATTGGATAAGGAGGTCCCACCCCTTTGTTCCCTTTGGTCCTTCCCCTTCACCATCCCCTTGGGGCTGGTTCCTCTGCTGGGGATGTACAGTAACCCCACAGTAAGGGAAGGAAGGCGCGGATCTCACCTTCTCTTGTTCTGGATTCACTTTAACGCTTTAATGCCTTGGAAATTTTTTTTTTTTTTAAGAAAAAGTATATATATATATATATTTGGGTTTGGGGGGAAGGGAAATTTTTTTTCTCTTTGGTTTTGATAAAATGGGGTGTGAGAGTTTTTAAATGCTATACCCCAGGCTTGTCCCATCGGAGGCAGCTACGTAAGAGGGGAGGTATCCCACCAGGTGGGGGTATTCCCCCACCCCAGGACACCTCCCCCTTTGCCCTGGCTCCTCCCTCTTTTCTATGAGGAATTAAGATTCTTTAACTTTTTTGAAACCTCAGTTTTGTGGTTTTTTATTTGGGTTAGGATTTCAGGGTCCAGACCATTTTTGCCCTCCGGGAAGATGAAGTGAGGGGAGAAGAGGAAAAATAGGTCCTCCGACTTCTCCACCATAACTTCTTGGACACGGGCCCTCGCTGAATAAATCTGCAGTTTTTATACATCCAAAGGTCTCTGGAGTACATTAAATACTTTGCCCCAATCATCAAAGACAGCGATGTAAGAGGACAGGTATCCCACCAGGAGAGGGGGTTGCTGCCAGCTGTGGGGACCCTTGCAAGGATTCTCCTGCCCTCTGCTTCTCACTTCGGTTCTGCTTACCTTCCTGGTTCTGGCTTGCATTCTGACCCGTTCCTTCCCTCTATGGTTTTCACCGGCCTGCTTCCTCCGTCCTGTCTGGGGACTGTGTGGTTAAGTCTTTTTTTATTTTTTATTTTTGGTTTTTCGAGACAGGGTTTCTCTGTGTAGCTCTGGCTGTCCTGGAACTCACTCTGTAGACCAGGCTGGCCTCAAACTCAGAAATCCACCTGCCTCTGCCTCCCAAGTGCTGGGATTAAAGGCGTGCGCCACCACCGCCCGGCTGTGGTTAAGTCTTACAGCTTAATTCTGGGTTCACTTTTCCTGGGAAGGATCTCAGAAGATGACTGTCCCACCTTGCCACTAGAAGTCCCCTCCGTTAATTCCTTCCTAACTGGAATGACTGACACATCTGCCCGCTCAGTAAATGATGGTTTGAGACACACTCTTTAACCTGGGGCTGCTTTAATTATAAAACATTTAAAACTCATAAACGCTCCGTGGCCCAGTGGGTTAGCAAAGGAGTAGATAAGGGAGTTCATTGGTCTTCTGGAATGTTCCATCTGGATAGAAGGTGAGGCTGCGGTTCCCCTTATTTTTAAGTGGCTGTTTACCTGGAAGACCAAAGGCAGGAAGGGAGGGTGACCCCAGAGAATGCCATGAGTCAGGTGAGGATGGCACTAGCCCACATGTTAAGGGTGCAGGTAGGTCTTTACAAAAGGCCAGTAAAAGGGCCAGAGGGGCGGGGCGGGGCAGACCCTGTTCTCTCCCTAAAAAGTGAGGTAGATGGAAGGAGACGGGGCTCTGGACCCTACACCAGGGAGTGTCCCAGTGAGGGGCCAGCGGCCTAGGCGGAGGGCTCCCCAACACACTGTCCTCCTTTCTAAGCACTGGTGGTTTTGGGTTGGGGAGCTGGAAGGGTTCCTGGCATGTCCCACCAATGGGTTATAGAGACCCCGTGGGAAGGAGTACTCACACCTCTCCCAGCCTAGGACCCATCTGTTCCTAGAGACCAGGGCATGTTAGCTGGCACAGTTTGGGGGTGGGCCCATGCAGAGAGACCAGTCATGTGACAAGCCCAGAAAGCAGTCCAAGGCCAGAGTCCTATGGCCTCTACTTGGCCTCAGGGCACTGGGGCTCAGGCTGGAGCTCTGGCTCAAAGCGATCTTCACTGATCTGGGTTCTGAACGCCTGCAGCTCCACTTGAAACTTCGCCTGCAGCTCCTCTTGCAGCTCTGCTCGCAGCTCTGCCCGCAGCTCCTCCCGCAGCTCCGCCCGCAGCTCTGCCCGCAGTTCATCCAGTGCGTTCCTGGGCAATGCTGCCTGCACCTGCACCTGCAACTCATCCAGCACGTCCTCCAGGTTGTCCACATCCTCCCGCAGCGACTGCACCGTGGCCGCACGCGCCACTTCCTTGCGGTGTTTAGATGACTTCTGGCGCCAGAACTCCAGCAGTAGACAGCTGCCCGCAGTGGCGAAGATGATGGTTTCGCCTAGCAGGTTTGCACCCAGCTCTGCCGCTGCGTCCTCATTCAGCGGCTTGATGGCCTCAGCATGGAAGCCCATGATGCGCATCTTGGTCCGCATCTCCACCCAGTGGTACACTGCAGGGAGACAAGGGTCGAAGGGTCGGAGTTGGCTTCAGCCGAGATGCTCCTCGCCCCACCCCCGCCCTCACCCCTACGTCTTGGGGATCACAGCCATAGTCACATAATTGCCTGCCTACAGTCCCCAAACTTAGAATAATGACTTCTTCAGCCTGGGAGGACCTGAAGACATGGTTTTTAAATGGTCCAGGGGCTGGGATGTGGCTCCCTCGGTGGAGTGCCGGCCTAGCATGCGAGGTCTCCTAGATACAGGTTTGATGGCACAGACTTAGCTGAGGTAGACACTCAGGAACTGGAGACAGGAGGATCAAAAGTTCAAGGTGGTCTTTTGGAGACTGGCCTGGACAACACGAGAGCCCTCCAGTGGGCAGGCCGTGGTGCTTCAGGCAGCCATGATCTCAGTACCCGCGAATGAAGCAAGAGGTCATCCTAGGCTAGCGAGGGGCTCTGGTCTCAAAATAAGACAAACGAATGAGATAACGTCCAAAGTCAGCAAGGGTTTGGTGGTGGGTAAGGGTGCCTGCCACGGAAGCCTGCTTACCGAAGTTCAGTCCTCAGAACTGGAAAGAAGTCCACTCCAGAGTTGTACCCTGAGCTTCACACACACAAATTAAAAAAAAAAGGGGGGGGGCATCCAGGAGATCCGGGAAAGTGGGCATGAGTGAAAATGCTGCCCTAGTTGGAAGGTGGGGTACCCTCAGTCTGGGAGCCATTGCAGGGTTAGGGTCACAAGGTGGCCCTAGAGTATAAAACCCCCTAAACATTCATACACATAAAAATAAATCTGGGGGGGGGGGGATGTCAAGACACGTTTTTTCTGAGTAGCCCTGGCTGACCTAGAACTCAGTCTGTAGACCAGACTGGCCTTGAACTCACAGAGATCCACCTGCCTCTACCCACCAAGTACTGGGATTAAAAGTGTACAGCCACTGCCCGACAATACATTACAATACATTACAATACATTAATCTTTGAAAAAATTACAAAACTGTGTCCTCAAGAAAATTTTAGGGCCAGGCGGTGGTGGCGCTCACCTTTAATCCCAGCACTTGGGAGGCAGAGGCAGGTGGATTTCTGAGTTCAAGGCCAGCCTGGTCTACAGACTGAGTTCCAGGACAGCCAGGGCTACACAGAGAGAGACCCTGTCTTGAAAAACCACAAAAAAAAAAAAAGAAAAAAGAAAAGAAAATTTTAGGGAGAATCCTCTATTTTACTATCTTCTTATATCTGTATAACTGGGCGTGCATGGTTAAAATCAGACATTATGGGGCTGGAGACATGGCTCAGATGTTAAGAGCACTGACTGCTCTTGCTAAGGACCTGAGTCCAGTTCCCAGATCCCACATCTCACTATTCCCTGCCACTCCAGCTCCAGGGCATCTGCTGTCCTCCTCTGTCCTCCATGACACTAGAGCACACATGGCACACACAGACACATGCACATAAAGACAAATCAAGAAATCAAACAAATCATACATTATGGACGGGACATGCATAGTAGAAAAATATGTAACCCATCAACCAGAACAGAACTGCTCTCAGTAAACCCCTCAGCAACCAAACTCCTCTTGAACGCTATAAAAGGAAGCCCTGAAAAGGAACTGAGTCCCCTAAGTGCTCTCCCTCCTGTAGTGGCTGTGGGTCTTCACAGAGTGGTCCTCCCTAACCTGCAACAGCGCTCTGCTCTGTTGTCTTTTACAAACCTGCTTGAGCCTGTATTGTCAGTCCTTTGGTATGTGTGTGTGGGCTTATCCTATCTGTGACTCTCTGTGTGTTGAGACAAGGTCTTACCATGTAGCCCTGGCCTGGAACTAACAAGCACCCACCTGCCTCTGCCTGCCAAATGCTGGAGGACCGAGGGTCAAACTCATTCAGGGCTTGGTGAATACTGGATAGGCTTGCTGTCCACTGGAGCTGTTCCCTGGGGCCCTCATTTGACTCTGAAGCTTTTATTTTTCCTAAGCTGCTATTTCTCAGATGGTTATGGACACATAGGTGTCTCTGAGGCTCAGGCCCATGTTCCTATGATGTCTTCACACCACCTCACCACGTTTTTCAACTCTTTAAACCCTTTTTTTTCCTTTTGAGCTAAGGACTTGCTGTATACACCAGGTTGGCCTGGAACTCAAAGAGATCCTCCTGCTTCTTCCTCCCAAGTGCTATAATTAAAGGCGTGCTCCACCACCCCTAGCTGGATTCCATCTTCTACTTGTTTCTCCCTTAGGGCCTGGGAATGTCTGTGTCTCTGTCTCTGTGTCTGTCTCTTGGCTTTTCGAGACAGGGTTTCTCTGTGTAGCCCTGGCTGTCCTGGAACTCACTCTGTAGACCAGGCTGGCCTCGAACTCAGAAATCCACCTGCCTCTGCCTCCCAAGTGCTGGGATTAAAGGCGTGCACCACTGCCACTTGCCTCCTTTTTAATTTATTTTTTGACAGGGTCTTACTCTGTAACCCAGGTGGGCCCCAGACTCACAGCAATCCTTTGGTCTCAGCTCCCAAAGGCTGGGATTACAGCCATGAATAACCCAGCATGCCCGGCGCTTTACTCCTGTTTGCAACAGACTCTCACGTAGCTTGGCTGGCCTTAAGCTCACTATGTGACCGTGATGCTATCCTTGACTATCTAAAATCTCTTTTCATACCTCCGAGCTGGAATGGACACAGGAAGGTATGCCCCCCGACAGGTTTGAGGGCTGGCTCCATCGGAGACGGATGAGTCTGTGTCCAGCCTGCCTCCATGTCATGCTCCTGTCCTCTCTGCCTCCACCCCGATTCTCTCTTCTGTATGACTTCTGTCTCTCTCTTGGATCCTGGGAATTTCCCTGTTGTGTACACTGAGGGATTAGCATACCCACACAGAGGCCTGGTGTTTGCCCTGGGATCCTGAGAGATATTCTTTAAAAGTCCTTGGAATGTCTGGTCCATTAAACTGTCTTTGAGGCACTCGACACACACACCAGTCATTTCTGCTAATGATAGAATTTCTGCTGTTTCATTTTTTTTCTTCTTCCTTCGTGTGTGTGTGTATGTATGTGCATGGTATCTGTGTGGGGTCACGTGTGTGTGTGTGTGATTGCAGGCATGCGTGATCGTGCCTGGCTTCTTTCATTTATCTTTACACTGTATTTATGATTAGTATGTGTGTCCAATGTTCCAGCTGGACAATGTTGAAGTTAGAGGACAACTTTTGGGAGTTAGTTCTCATTTACTGAATCTTATATTTATCTTTGACATTTTATTGTGTGTGTCCGTGGTATATGCCACAGCACTTGTGTAGAGGTCAGAGAACCACCTGCAGGGAGTCTGTTCTCTTCTTTAACCCTCTGCTATCCAGAAACGGAACTCAGGTCTGCAGGCTTGGCGACAGGCACCTTTACCCTTGGAGATTTTTGGCATTCCTTCATTGGTTTTTTTGTTTGTTTTTTAAGATTTATTTATTTCGCTGGCAGCGGTGGTGGTGCACACCTTTAATCCCAGCACTTGGGAGGCAGAGGCAGGCGGATTTCTGAGTTCGAGGCCAGCCTGGTCTACAGAGTAAGTTCCTGGACAGCCAGGGCTACACAGAGAAACCCTGTCTCAGGAAAAAAAAAAAAAAGATTTATTTATTTCATGTACATGAGTACACACTGCAGCAGTCTTTGGACACACCAGAAGAGGGCATACAGATGATTGTGAGCCATCATGTGGTTGGTGGGAGTTGAACTCAGGATCTCTGGAAGAGCAGTTAGTGCTACATAGCTGCCGGCAATAGTTTTTAATCATAGTTCCTGATTTTAGCTGACCTCCCCATGCTGGCCACGAACCTCTCATGTGCTGGTGCCTCTGGCTGGCCATAAATTCTATGATGTTCTTTGTACAATAGCAGGTCACAGGACTCTTTACCTGCATCCTGCCCTGGAGGGAAGGATGCTGCAGAGGCCCAGAAGAATCTGAAGGAAACAGGTCCTGCCAGCTGGCTCTTACCATCTGGCATGAGAACTCTAGAAGATTGAGCAGACATGCTCTAGCATAAAACTCCAGAAGGAGGGTGTCACCTCACCTACCACCTAGTCAGGGGCTTCGACAACAGCCAGTAAGCAGACGTGCTTCTCTGGGCCCACTGGAGCAGGTGTGACAGGGAGGGAGAGTTTGAGTCTGTAACCTGAGGCCACCCTGATCCTCCTTTACCAAAGGCTGTTTCTTTTTGAGACTGGCAAAAGCCAAGTAGCCCTAGCTAGCTTTGAGCTGGACACCCTCCTGAATTTTGGGCTTATCTCCAGGGATTAATGGAGTTTACCACTACCACCTGGCTATCTGGGCTCCCCTTGATGAAATTCAGTTAGGTAGCAAGCAGTGTTCACTTCTGCCGGCAAAGGTAACTGTATATAGTGATTTTTCACTTTAATTAGACTCATGACACATCTTGCACAACATTAACTAGGACTCCGCTCTTCTGCTCTGGCTGCCCACACCAGCACGGAGCTCATACACAGTGCACACATCGAGTTCCCTGTCCCCCTTGCTGTGGGGGGGGGGGCAGAGTCAGGCTCCCGCTGTGTTCTCCAGGCTGCTAGGACCCCCAGGCTCTAGTGAGCCTCCTTTCTGTTTCTGAGTAACTGAGTGTGAAGGCATGCCCACCCATGCTTCTTAGGTTTTATAGTGTGTTGCTGTTGCTTTGCTTCTGTATTTTATGTACATGAGTACACTGTAGCTGTCTTCAGACACACCAGAAGGGGGCATCAGGTCCCATTACAGATGGTTGTGAGCCACCATGTGGTTATTGGGAGTTGAACTCAGGACCTCTGGAAGGGCAGTCAGTGCTCTTAATTGCTGAGCCATCTCTGTAGCCCTTGATTTTGTATTTTAAGTTAGGGTCTCATATAATCCAGGCTGGCACTGAACTCACTACTTAGTTCAATGGCTACTTACTTAGCCCAGGGCAGTCTTGATTTCCTTATCTTCCTATTTCTACCTCCCTTCCCCCCTCCCAATGCTGGGATTCCAGGTGTGCACCACTAAGCCTGTTTTTTGTTTGTTTTGGGTACAGGTTCTCATGTAACCCCAGGCTAGTCTTAAACTCACTCCATAGCTAATGATGGCCTTGAACTCACTGAACCTCCTGCCTCTACTTCCCAAGTGTTGGGTTTACAAGTTCAAGTCACCATACCTGGCTTTTACATTTATTTACTGTCTTATTTTAGCCCAGGCTGGCCTCAAATCTGTGACACTCTTCCTGTCTCAGGCTCTTAAGAGCAGGGATTAAGGTGTGTGTTGTCACACCTTATATGTTATGTTTAAAAATATATATTAGATGCACAGAACACATACATGCATGTACATATACAAGCATTTCTATAGTTCATTTTGATTATGTTACGTGCATGAATGCTTTGACTGTGTGTGTACCAAGTGCATGCCTGGAAGAATGCACTGACTTCTCTGGAACTAGAATCAGAAATGGTGTGTGCCACTGTCACTATGTGTGTGCTGAGAATTGAATTTGGTTTCTCAGTACTAGGTTTTTGACACAGGGTTTCTCTGTGTAGCCCTGGGTGTCCTGGAACTCACTCTGTAGACCAAGGCTGACCTCAAACTCATAGAGATTGACCTGTTTCTGCCTCCCAAGTGCTGGAACATACAGCTTGAGTCACCTCTGCCCAGTTACAGCTTTTCTTTAGCAAGTAGATTACTACAAAACAAGAGTAGTAGCAAGTCCTCCTGGGTAACGACTTCACCAAACTGTCATTCCAGAAATATAAACACAGCATCACACACATCATGCTACACATATACACATGCACTGAATTCCCCAACTCTATGACCCACTTACAGGGAGGAGAGAATTACTTTACAATGTGTACATGATGGATTATGTAAGCTCTTCCTTCTCAAGGATTTCAGTGCAAGCTCAAGCCTGTCGAGGTTGCTGGTAGCAGCTCCTGTGGGGATTGAGGAGGATCAGGAACACGGAAGAGGGGGCTAATGCTTGACACAGGGATCAGGGCCTTAGTGACCTTCTGTTCCAGAGGTTTAGTTTGATTGTCATTTTTGTTTTTTTTGTTTTTTGTTTCCAAGACAGGGTTTTTCTGTGTAGCCCTGGCTATCCTGGCATTCACTCTGTAGACCAGGCTGGCCTTGAACTTACAGAGATCCTTCTGCCACTGCCTCTTGAGTGCTGGGATTAAAGGGGTGTGCCACCACCTCTCTGCATCTTGTTTTTGAGACAGGGTCACTCTACATGGCACTGGCTGTCCTGGAAGCATGTAGATCAGGCCAAGCTGGAGCTCACAGAGCTCTGACGTCCTCTACTTCTCTAATGCTGGGATTAAAGGTGTGTGCCACCACACTCAGCTCCTTAAGAGGGTGGCCTTTGTCTCCCCTTGCTGTACGGGGTCAGTGAAGCTCTCCTGTAAAGGGCCAGTGGGTAACTGTTCTCAAGAGTCTCAAATCCAGCTAAAGTGGCCATCAACAATGTGGAAGTGAGTGAACACAGCTGTTTTATAAATACTTTATTGACGGATTCGGCTCAGAGGCCTCATCTGCTAAGCTTTGCAGTGTTAGGATTGCTTGTTCTTACCTGTGTCTTCTATGGAGTTCTCAACCTTGACTTGAGGCACCTCCACAGGAGCAGGATGACAGGTCTGTGTTGTTTATCCAATGCCGGGAACTGGACTCAAGGCTTCAGGCATGCTCGGTAAGAGCCCTGCCCACTGCACCATTTCCCCAGTGCCAGCTCTTTACCCCTGTGCTGGAGTGACAGTTCCGTGATGGCTTTGCTGAGCTTTGTCTTGTTCCTGGCTGCTCCAGACACTGGTAGAAAACTGGACACAGTAGCTGCTCCATGCACATGTGTCCAGTTGGTGGGTGACAGCACCCTAGCTGCTAGGCAGGCTTTTCCTGTCAGTCAATCTATCCACAATGCTCACACTGGCCAGCCAAGGGATAGCTTTGGGGCCAGGGGAACTGACTGGAGCTTCTATAAGATCCATTCTCTTATGGTGGCTCTCCAACCAAGAGCTTGTCCAACAATGAAACCAACAGCCAGGGATGGGACAAACAGAGCCACTGACACTGGCTCAGGCTGTGTGAGCTGGTATGACGGGGATCTGTCTGCAATGTCCTGAAGCCCCAAGTCACTCAGGAGGGAGGAGTCTAGGTCCAGTCCCATCTACCCACATAACCACGGAGGGAGCAGGTGACGCTGAGAAAACGTGTGCAGTTGTTCCTCACTGGGCTGTAAATCTGTGAGGCCAGGGCTGCAGTTGACCGGGGCTCTGATGGGGACCTAGCGTGGCAAAGAACAGGGCTAGGGCACAGACTGGGCAACTCTATAACTCTTTCTTAAATGGCAGAATAAAATAAGGGCAGCTGTTCTGGTTAAGATGGGCTTTAAGCCCATTTTGTGAAGGACAATGAATTCTTGATCCTCCAGTCTCTACTTCCCAAGTGCTGCCATTCAGATGCATGTGCTGCCACGGCTGCTGCAATCCTCGGTTGTTTAGACAGTTTTGCTATACAGCCCCTCAAACCTGCAGTCTTCTTTTCTTTCTTCTTTTTTGAGACAAGGTTTCTTGGGGTAGCCCTGGCCATCCCGGAACTTGCTGGACTGATGTTTGGTACACTTTTGTCTGTGTCTTACCTTGCCTGCCTAAGACACCTTCTGACTGGTTGAAATAGCCTATGGCAAAAAGTAGAATAGTAAGGTGGGACTTCTGAACAGGAGGGGACTCTGGGAAAGAGGGTGGCACGGAAGATTAGCCACCAAGTCAAAGAGGTCAGATGTATAAAACTGAAGAGAGGTAACCAGCCAAGTGGCAGAACTTACATTAATCGAAATAGTACAGTAAGTTATGAGCTGGTTGGGAACAAGGCCTAGGCATGCGTGCATAAGTAAACACGGTGTCTGTGTCCTTATCTGGGAGCTGGGGCAGGCTTAGAAAGGCCCACAGTTGCGTTTTGCACCCAACACAGGGCTCGAACCCACGACCCTGAGATTAAGAGTCTCATGCCCTATCGAATGAGCTAGACTACAGACCATACTGGACTCCAACTCAGACATCCACCTGCCTCAGGCTCCCTAGAAGTCTTTCTCGTTTAGCATGAGAGCCAAGTGTTGGGATTACAGGCCTATGCCATCCTGGAATTAAAAAAGAAGTTCTCCTCACACTTTGTTTATTTATTTACTTAGTGTGTGTCTCTGGTTGTGTGCACATTACGAGGTGAACACGGAGGTCTAACAACCTGAGGGAGCCAGTTCTCTCCTACCATGCAAGTCCTGGGGAGCCAACTCAGGTCACCAGGCTTGGTGGCCAGCGCCTCCATCTGTCAGTCTACTGAACTTTTTCAATTAAAAACACACACAAATGAAACTGAAGACAACCAGGTTCATTCATGAATTTATTCTCCTCCTTCTCCCCTTGTGGGAAATATGTAACACTGCAGTGCCAAGGGAACCAGAACCATGAAAGCTGTGCTGGCCTCCTGCCCTGCAGAGACTTCTGGAATCACACACCACACCACCCTTTCTTCCTGCACTGTCACCATGGGTGAGGCTGCCACAGGCCTACCATGTCCACACACACCAGGACCATGTGAAGGCTCCACTGGGTCAGGTTGGGCCCAGAGGCCTACTTTTATGCTTGGGTAACCCGAAGGTGACATTTCATCTCGGTGCCTGTTTCCTCTCAAGCAAGCAGAGAAAATATTCCTATGGGGTCTTCACCAACAGGGAAGCTGGTCTGTCAGAGTAATGACTGACCTGACAGAGCTCTGCGCCCTCACTTGTCTTGGCTTTGCCGTAACTGCTGTGGACTGACTCAGGGCAGGGTGGCCAGGACTGGTGGTTAGTGCCAGACTCGATTCCACAGCAGTAACCATGGCAATCGGGCAGCTTCCCTGGCTCCTCCCTCTGTCCTCCAGTCATCACGAAGCCATGTGTGCCCTTTGTCCCCAGTTAGGCTCTAACCTAAGTTTAAAGACACCAATTTCTGCCTCTTCTAGAAGAAGCGGAGGTACAGTTTCAGTGTTGGTTTCAGTCTGGGGATGGGTCATTTTCAACCCCTTGGGGGGAAGCCCTGCAAGTGCCACCTCTAGGACAAGGGCCAGGGAGAATGAACCTGTTTCCTATATTTAGAGGTCTTGGGTATGGCCCGGGGCTTTTCTGATAGAGGGCAGAAACCCAGTCCTCTGGCCACTGGGCAGATGTCCAGCCTTCATCTCACCTTGTCCTGCAGCCAGAACCATCTGGGTCCTCTGGTCCTTCCTCCCCACCCTTGTGGCTGGTCCCTCCTGAGCTATGGAGTCTTGGGCAAGTCCCTTAGCTTCCCTTTTCCTGGGCCTCAGCCTCCCAATGTGGGAAGAGCTCACAGGATGAGTCTTGGCCCCTTTTCCCCCAGAGCCAAAACCTCTGGGTTTCCTCCAATGTTTTTGTCTTTCTTTTTATTTTTCATCTTTTTCCCCCCTTAAAGACAGGGTCTATTCCTGTGGTTCAGCAGGCTGTCCTGGAATTCACAATGGGACCCAGGCTCATTCCTGCCTCAGCCTCCGAGTGCTGGCATTCTAGGCATGTGCCACCATGCCCGGCTGGCTTTCTCTATTGTTATGAACACTGGCCTAGTTTGGAGGTCCATATTAATTATGCCTCTCGTATATTCTTAGGAGGCCTCCTTATTCTATGGCTCCTTCCATCAGGAACTGGACAGCCATGACAGAGACTGCTGCACTCACAATCCTTCTGGAGCTGTAGTGGTTAGCCCAGCCCCGGAAGCTATGAGTAGGCTGTCAAATGGCCAAACAGCATAGTAGGGGGCTTTGCGTTTTCTTAGAACGGCAGAAGGTAACAAGCTGAATAGAGAGCCTTCAAAAGAAAACCCTATGTCCTAATCCTGGGACCTGTGTGTCCCATTTAGAAAAAGGGTCTTCAGAGATGTAACAAAGGCTCTTTCAGTGTGGTCATCCTGGATTTAGGGTAGGTCTTGTATTCAGAGCAGGTGTCCTTGCAGGAGACAGATGGGGGAAGAGAAAGCCACATGAAGACAGGACACAGAGTCCAGGAGCTCTGGAGCCCCTGAAGCCAGAAGAAAGTGGAACCCAAACACCCTGGCCTCTGCTGCTGGTTTCCAGAACGGTGGGAGAACAGGTTGCTCTGTGTCCTCCATCACGTTTCTAGTAATATGTCACGTCTGGGGGCGTGGTCAAGGAAGGTGGGAGCAACAGGAAGAGTGAGGACCCAGGCCTGCGGGGTATGGAGGGTCAGACAGATGTGTGTCACATCTAACTCACCCGACTGAAAAATGCCACTGAAGGACAGCAGAAAATATGTGCCACCTGAAACAAGGTCCAGGGACCCTTAGGACAGGGCAGCGGCGCAGCAACTGAGCCAGGCAGGTCAGATTCAAGCCAGCTAGGATCAGTCTGTGCTGAGGGAGGGAGCGAGGTAATGCCACAGGCTGAGGGGTGAGGGGATCTGTACGGCCATGATCCCCTTGGGACCGCAGAAGGAGAATGAGGAGAATGAGGGCATCAGTTGCACTGTGCTGCCTCCATGGGAGCTACACTGACCTGAGGCAAGGCTCACGGTGGCCTGTGTCCACCAAAGGAAGGAGGCGGTCCAATGATGGGCAGGTGACCTTGTCTACATCCTCATCAGGCTCGAGCCCTGGCTCCATTTCTTGCCTTTGCTAGAGCAGTGGAGAGACAGGTTGGCCAAGACCTTCAAAGTCCAGTGTGGTTCCTGGTGGGGCTGAGCACTTTGGGTCAGAGGCTGATGGACTCAGAACGCTTCTTCTGAGTGCTCCCCGGGGGAAATGCCCAGATTCTGTCAGTAAGGGGTGACCACACGTCACAGCTACATCAAGGTCCTCATGGTTTCTGCTAGGCCAGAGCAGCCCAGGCCAGGAGGTGTGAGGAGAAGGCCCTATCGAGGGCCACATAGCCACAGACAAGTCCAGGCCCCAGCAGCTGGCTACTTCTTGGAAGATGCTGTCTGGCACTTGGGAGTACAGTGAGCACTGCAGACCTGGCCACGCACTTCCTGCAGCTCCTCCCGCAGCTCCTCCAGGGCACTCAAGGAGGGCATCGCTTGTGCCTGAGCCTGCAGCGCCTCTAGAGCCAGTGCCAGGCGGCCCACCTCGTCCTGCAGCGCGTTCCAGGCTGCCCGCTGCTCCTCCTCCTTATTGCGCTGCTGAGTCTGGTGGCGCCAGTACTCCAGGACCAGGCAGCCTCCGCCCACAATGAAGATGGTGGCCTCACCCAGCAGCTCAGCACCCAGCTCTGCTGCGGCCTCCTCATTCAGCGGCTTGATGGCTGTGCCCCGGAAACCCATGATGCGCATCTTGGTCCGCATCTCCACCCAGTGGTACACTGCAGGGGAGAGAGGGGTCAGCTGTGTTCCCAAGCCCCGCCCCACACTTTCTTGTTCCAGTTGCAGTCAGAGACCAAGTTGGGAGTGGGAGGTCGCCTTAAGCAAGACCTGTCCCTTGCTTCAGAGTCTCCTCCCGGGGTAACCTGGGGGCTTTCTTCCCTCAGTACTAAGGTCAGTCCAGGGCTTCGTGCATGCTAGACACACTGCTAGCACTAAGCTATACCCCATCTTTTTTAGACAGACAGACAGATGTAGCGCATACTGGCATTTAGCTCCCTATGTAGCCAAGGGTGACCTTCAGTCTGACTCTGTTTTTCTACCTCCCCATGTGCTGGGATGACAACCATTACGTCCTATCACTTTTTACTTTTTCCCAGATGTAGCCCAAGCTGGTCTTGAACTCATGATCCTCCTGCCTCTGCCTCTTGAGTAGCTGGGGTAGTTCTGGACCATAAGGATCAGGCCTAGCTCCAGAGACATCCTTCAAAGCGCAAGAAGATTCCAGAAAGCAGCAATGAGCAGAAGCCTGCTTAGAGCAGAGGTCCTCAGATGGGAAGCCATGCCCCTAGCAGGTCACAAGCACCTGCCCCCTGAGTGTTAAGAGCACACAAGGTGTAAAGGCCCAGCAGCCACATTTAGCTCCCACTGCCACTCCTCAGGTCACCACACAGAGTGGCGGCTATCTTCCTCCATGGCACTATCGCCCACTTCCCCAGTTTCTTTTCCTTCCCAGAATGCAGAGGGAGGGCTGCAGCTTTTGTGGGTCAGGAGGCTCCATCCTAGGTCCTCAGTGCAGACTGAGGGGGTTAAGTGGGGAGTGGAGCTGCCTCCTTGCCTGGTCTGCTTCTCCTCAGCAGAGCCTCGAGCAGCAGGGGTGGTCAGGTGCCCGACTTCACGGTCCGGCATCACGGGTGCCCATCAAGTGGAAGGAGAGAGGCGGTGCCCAAGCCAGCTCCTTTCCAAATGTACTTTCAACAGTCTTTTCTTTCTTTTCTTTTTTCTTTTTCCTTTTTTAGACAGGGTTTCTCTGTGTAGCCCTGGCAGTCCTGGAACTGGCTTTGTAGACCAGGCTGGCCTCCAAATCAGAGATCCATCTGCCTCTGCTTCCCAAGTGCTGGGATTAAAGGTGTGTGCTACCACTGCCCCACTAAGTCTTTGAGATGGTCTCACTATGCCTGGCTGACCTGGGACTCCACCATGTAGAGCCAGGCTGGCCTTGAGTTTGTAGTAATCCTCCTGCCTCAGCCTCTCAAGCTGTGGGCATCATAGGCATGCACCACCATTCCTGTCTTCATTTTAGTTTTTACTGTTTATTAAACTGTTTTTGTTTTGTTTTGAGACATGGCCTCACTGGCTAGCCTTGGCTGACCTGGAACTCACTATGTCGAGCACGATGTCCTTTTCGTTCTTGCTTGTTTTTGTAACAGGTTCTCATGTAGCAATGCTGGCCTCAACTACGCTATACAGCCCAGGATGGCCATCCTCCTGCCTCTAGCCGAGAACACAGGCAGGTGTTACCATTCTGGCCTTATTACTGTGTTTCTGAGACAGTCTCACTATGTAAGCCAGGCTGGGACTGAACCTGGGGCAGAAAGCCTCCTATTTGTGATCCTCCTGCCTCAGCCTCCTAAGTGTTAGTAGGAAAGGTCTGTGGCACTGTGGTAGGCTTCAGAGTGAGTATTGAGCTCACTGGGACACATCTAGGGACAACGCAGTCCCTAGATGTTTGAACAGTTTCCAGTACTCTTTAGGGCTGCCCTTAGTATTAAACACATGTTGTATCTCAATTAAGAATACGCATCCAGAACTGGCAATGACAAGATGGTACAGTACCTAAAAGTAGTCAACTGTCACCTAGCCTGATGACCCAAGTTCAATCCCTGAGACCCATGTGGTAGAAGAAGAGAATCAACTCTTATAAGTTGCCCTCTGACTTCCATATGCTCACTAGTGGCACGTGGGGACACACACACACAAACACACAAACACACACAAACGCACAACATACAATATAATTTTAGCCAGACATGGTGGTATAGGCTTTTAATCCCAGCATTTAGGAGGCAGAAGCAGGAGGATCTCTGTGAGTTCAAGGCCAGCCTGGTCTACAGAGAAAGTTCCAGGACAGCCAGGGCTACAGAGGGAAACCCTGTCTTGAAATACAAAAACAAACAAAAACAAACCAATCAAACAAACAAACAAAAAACTTGTGAAATTTACATACAAGAGCTGGAGGGATGGCTCAGAGGCTAAGAGCACTTGCTGTTCTTCCAGAAGACCCAGGTTTGATTCCCAGCACCCACATGGCAGCTCACAACCTTCTGTAATTCTAGTCTCACAGGATCCACTGCAAGCAGGTGCACAGATATTCACTCAGGCCAAACATAATACCATAATAAAATAATAATAAAAATAAATCTTTTCTTTCTCCCCATGCCCCACAGGATAGATCAAACACAGTCCCCCCACTATCACAAATTACTCTGGAATTTCCTGTATTTCGGGAAACTTCAGGGGCCAGCACATCTCGAGTACAATGAATAAGTCTCACTCTGGGAAAATCACCTTTATAATCATGGTATCTCCCCTGCCAGGTAAGTGTATAAAAACAAATCTAAAAAAAAAATAATAATACAAAAGGGCTGGAGGGATGGCTCAGCGGTTAAGAGCACTGACTGCTCTTCCAGAGGTCCTGAGTTCAATTCCCAGCACCTACATGGTGGTTCATGACATCTGTAATCAGATCTGATGCCTGGTAATCGGATCTGGTGTGTCTCAAGACAGTTACAGTGTACTCATATACATACAATAAATAAATAATTCTAAAAAATATAAAAGAATGACTATTACTAATGAAACCCTAGTGAAGTGGTTTGGGTACAAGAAGGACGTGTTTCTCAGCATGTGCTGCCTCGGGGACTCGGTTCTCTATGGAATATTCCCCATTCACAAAGCCAGGCTCACCATAAACTCCTAACAAGATATCTAGCATCCTCTGTCAAGATAATAGCATAATTAAATTACCACTGTTGCTACTGGTCAGTCAATTATCACATGGCTCTAAGCAGTCTCTGCCTTGTCCCTAGATGTGTCCCTGTGGGCTCACTCTGAAGCCTACCACAGTGCCACAGACCTTTCCTACTAACACTGAGGAGGCTGAGGCAGGAGAGTCACAAATATGAAGCCAGTCTTGGGTATCTAGTGAAAGCCCCCCTTAAGAAAACAAAAGAAAAGCCTGGAGAGACAGCTCGACTCTCCTTGAAGAGATCCCACAACAGGTAGATCCAGCTACAAGCCGTCCAACACTGGATTCTGGCCTTCATGGTGCATATATATGTGTGTAGGCACATATATACACACATAAAATAAAAATAAAGTTCAAAATTCAGCCAGGTGGAGAGATGGCCTTGCAGTTAAGAACACTGGCTGTTTTTCCAGACGACCTAGGTTTTATTCCCAACACCCACAGAGAGGCTCACACAGTTTGTAACTTCAGTTCCAGGGGATCCCAAGTCTTCTTCTGGCCTCCACAGACACCAGACACACAAGCACACAAGACATACATGTAGACAGACACCCTGTGTAACCAAGGCTACCCCGGCTTCTGCCTCCACATGCTGGGATCACAGGTGTGCACAGCACACTCCCCTCCCCGTCTGTCCCGTTGTTGACTCATAGCCCTTCCTTCTAGAACAGCTCCTAGCACACGCAGGCACTAAACACAAGGAGTGGTGACTAATGCAGGCTCCTAATGACTCTGCCACAGAATGACCTCTGCCTGTGCTCCCCACCCAGACCTGGACAGACCAGCTGGGCTTAGGAGAGGGAGGGATACCTGGGAGTTCTGGAGGCTGAGGGCTCAGTGTGCTCAGAGCTGGGCAGTCCTGGGTTCCAGCCCTCCTACACCTGCTGCTTAGTTGCTGTGTGACTGGTCAGGATTCCAAACAGCACAGTGCCTCTGCTTCCCGTTTTGCAAATGTGGAGAGCAGCAGGTGGAGGAGTGGGGTGCAAGTATGGGTGCTGCAGGCATGGCTCGAAGGGCTGCTAGCTCATCATCCCAGGAGCAGACAAGGACTGTAGCCGTCTGATGGGAGAGAGCAGGGCTGCCCGCGGAATGGAGCTGGAGTTGAGCCCTAGAGCACTGTGGCCAAGGCTACAAGGAGTCAGGCTGGCTGGCTTGAAGCCCATGCTGAGCCATTCACCACCTCCTGTCCTGAGGCCTCAGTTTCTTCATCTGTGGGGCTGAAAATGGCCACAGTAGAGGTGTGCTGACTTGGGCCTGTAATTCCAGCCCTTGAGAGGCTGAGAATTAAGACTGTTTCAGACTAGCCTGAGCTACACAGAAAGACTGTCTTAGTTAGGGTTTTACTGCTGTGAACAGACAGCACGACCAAGGCAACTCTTGTAAGGACAACATTTAATTGGGACTTGCTTACAGGTTCAACAGTTCAGTCCATTATTACCAAGGTGAGAGCATGGCAGCATCCAGGCAGGCACGGTACAGGAAGAGTTAGAAGTTCTACATCTTCATCTGAAGGCTGCTAGAAAAAGACTGGTTTCCAGGAAGCCAGGACAAGGGTCTTAAAGCCCACACCCACAGTGACACACTTCCTCTAACAAGGCCACATCTCCAAATAGTGCTACTCCCTGGGCCAAGCATATACAGACGATCATAAAGACCCTGTCTCAAAACAAAGACACAGGCCTCTTTCCCACAGCAGGGCAGCACATGACCAGGACATAGTAGTCTACCACAGGCCTTGAAAGAGCATTTTCCACCTTCATACGTCTCTGTCTCTCTCTCCTCTCTCCCTCTGAACAAGTTTTCACATAGCCTAGGCTGGCCTGGAACCTGCTGGTAGCTGAGGGTGGCCTTGAGCTCCTAATCCTATTGCCTCCGGCTTGCAAGCGCTGGATTTATAGGCATGTGTCTCCACACCCGGCCACTCCCCAGCATAGAACCTAGGGCCCCAACACACACTTTATCCCTAAGCCCTCC